AAACAAATATTGAAGGATATTTTCTCATGAAAGAATCAAGGGTCTACTTTAGGTTAATTCTTTTTTTTTTCTTCTCTCATGCCCTTAGAAGCCTTCAAGAAAATCCCATTTAGATGCTTAACAGATTTGCCTCACTCCAGTCAATCTTATTAGGACCAACTTTCCCCTTAAAGCATGCATTCTGGAAAGCCATGCAAATTTCCTCTTTCTAAAAGTAGTGTTTGGGACCAGGGAAGGCTTGCCTATTCTTCCAAAAGAGGAAACATTTATCTGCAACATTCGTTGCCCACATTTCTGCACAGTCAAACGTATTAGTAACACACAACAAGCAAGGATGATGCCCAGAACAGGACCACGGCAAATATTAATGGCACAATCACTAAACACACGGCACACACAGGGGTCTTTTTTTTAATACCTCTCTCTGTTGCATTTGTCATATTAAGAGCTGCATGACAAACAAAGGGAAAAGCAGGTGAAGTATCTCGTGAACATTTAACCCCTCAAACAATATCTAGCATTAATTGCAATAAGGATGAAAAGAAAGGCCTTTTATTTGATTCCTCAAAAAGCAAGTACTTCCCATTAGTGTTCCAAAAGGAAAAAAAAACCCTAAATACCAAGTTATAAAAGCATAGATGTTTGAGAAAATTTGATTTTCTCACTATCTACTACCAGAGAAAGAACTGATGGATTCTGAATGCAGATCAAAGCATACTTTTTAAAACTTTTCTTTATTTTTCTTGTTTGTTTTGTCTATGTTTTCTTTTGTAACATGGCTAATATGGAAATATATTTTTCATGAATGCACATATATAATCTATATAAAATTGCTTGCGTTCTCAAGGAGGGAGAGAATTTGGAACTCAACATTTTTTGAAAAATGAATGTTAAAATTGTTTTTCCATGCAATGGAGAAAAAATAAATTTAAAAAATGTAAAAGATTTTGTATTTTCAAATATCTTGAACACAACCTCTGATAAACTCTGGAGCACATCAAGTAGTATTTTCAAGGTGAGCTTTATTGATTCTGCCTAGTACCTTTCAAAGAGGAGCAGACGTACTTATCAGACAGTTGAGTAGACAGAACAGAGGTTCCAGCCTGGACCAAAACATCCAAAACAAAGTCCCTTTGTACTACTAAGCAGATCCAAACCTGGATTTCCAAGCTCCTCTATCAGTGATGAGAGCTTAACCTGTAAGGTTAAGAAAAACTTAGCCAAAGATTCTTTTCTAGCTCAAAATCGTAGAGAATTTTTGAGTAGAAAGATTTCCAGAACTCATCTAGTCCAACTCTCTCTTTTACATATAAGGAGACTGAGGATCACAGTCCTCAGGAAAACCATTACCTCTCTCAAGGATTGCTACACACACCTCCCCATCTTTTGTGGACTCCTGTGCTTTATGGCATCTACTCAAGATTGCTCTGTTCCCAGACCTGCTTCTCTTATTTCCAACCTGCTGACCTTTCCTGTTATATGTTTTATCCAGTCCACCTCTTAGTACTGGATCTCAACTCACTCAAACCCTTTCCCTTGGCTCTAGCCAATAGCATGATACACTTGAGGGGGGAACCTAGGCTTGAATCTTATCTCAGAAGCTTACCAGCTGTGCAACTATAGACAAGTCACTTAAACTCCCTGGGTCTCAGCATCCTCATCTTTAAAACTACAGAGTTTAGTCTTCGTAACCATTAAAATCCCTTCCAGCACCACAAGCTATGATCCTATGCAAATCTCATAATAGATTCAGAGCTAAAAGGGTCTCATAGGCTTCCTAGTCAACTTCTTATTTGACAAATGAGGAAACTGAGGTACAGTGTTAAAATCTAGAGATATGATCCTGGTAGTGATTGAAACAAAGGACCATCTATTTTTATGCTGTTTATTCCCTTTGGCATTCCAGCCACTTCCTATCAGTTTTACTTTGTAAAATGAATATTTTAAAAAAATATTCATTTGTTTCCAGAGCAATGTGCTGGCATGAGATACAGTTAGAAATTAAGAAGAAGTAATAAAAGCTAGCATATAACCCCTAACTAATGAGGCATTTAAGTTTTGCTAACCCATACAGCATCATGGAGAAAGGACGTTATAGAGAAAATAAATGAAGTTGGTGGTTATCTATTAAATGCGTTTTTTAAATTAAAGAGAAGACTTACTAAAGACTCTCCAAACATCTGAGTCATAATATGCTACAAGTTCAGACAAGAAAGATTTAGCATGTGTGCATTAATGCTCACTGAACACTTTTTTTGTCACTGGTGGAAAAGGTACAAAAATCCCTTATAGCATGATGGCATTCTTTGGGTTGAGAGCAAGAATTTTGTAATGCAGGAAAGACATATGAGGCTGAAGGTACATGAAGCATCTGCTTTAACATTTATTGTGCTAGAGAGTGAGGTGCCATTAATGAATGAATGAATGAAAGAAAAAGCATTTATTAAGCACTTACGGGCTAGGACTTTTTGAGTTCAATTTCCATTCTTTCTACATGACACAGATAAGACCATGATTTCTATAGGAAATTATGCTAACTCCTCTCCTGGTTCCATGCCTTATGTCTATAATTCTCTGCCACCCACATGTGGATATGATAATGGTGACATACAGGAGCCAATCAGGAGCTGCTCCATTGTGTCACAAAATAAAGTGCCCAGTAAGAGGCCAGATAGAGGGAGTGCCCTATAGGATCCTTACCCCTCCTCCCAATCTATCTCCCTCCCTTGTCCAACTATAACATTAACAACTAAGGACGGGCAAATTCACAAAAGGCAACCAAGTGGGATGTGGTCATCCTATCGCTCAAGTCCTGTTAATTCATCTCTGTCATACTGCTTATCTCCAGCCCTTCTTTATCATTCTCACTGCTACAACACTAGTTCAAGCCCTTGTTAACTCTCATTTTGGTTCAAAGGACCTGGGTTCAAATCCTGGCTTTGCTAGTGATAACCTATGTGACCTTGGGCAAGTCACTTAAACACTCTGGGTCTCAGTTTTTTCATTTGCAAAATGAGGTATGTTGGACTGGATGATCTCTAAGGTCCTTTACAGCTCTAAGTCTTCATTTGTAAAAAGAATCTGTTTTTACAAACTCATAGCTTTCCTATAAGAATCAAATGAATATGAAAAGGCTTTGTAAATTACATACAAACCAATGAATATTATTAGTATTATCTATGCACCACTTAATTCTGTAAAAAATTAATTTAGTCTATTAACCAGGCTAGTCAGTGGTGATTTTTTTTTTTGTTCCTTTGAATCAGCCAACCCAATCTGTTGTTTAAGCATCACAGACACAACCTTGTGGATTTGATTGCCAGACAATCGAGAAGTAATATGGTGCAGTGTAGAAAGAGCAGTGAACTCAGAGTCACTGAGTTCAGATGCAGCCTCAGAGTGGCAAGATCTGAGTTCAGATGCTGCCTCAGAGTCACAAGATCCAAGTTCAGATGCTGCCTCAGAGTCACAAGATCTGAGTTCAGATGCTTATTCCATTTGTCACCTTGCATAAGTTACTTAATTTTCCTGAACTTCAGTGTCCTGATGTATAAAATGAGGAGATTAGACTAGATGGCTCCTGGGTACTCTTCCATCTCCAGATATATGGTCCCTATTTACCAACCCTACTCTTTTCCTAAGTAAGGTCAGTGGGAGTGTCGTTAGCAAATGGCAGCTACATAATGATAAACTCGCATTTCCATTAAAGGTTAATTTAAAAAAAATGAATTTATTAGAACTGTGCAGTTCTCAAGAGTAAGCATTATGAGAATAAAACTAACATTCAACAGACATATAAAAGCATTAAGTGCAGAATACTGTGCTTAATGGTGAGAGAGATTCAAGGGTAAAAAAAATAGTCTGTATCTTAAAAGAGCTTGTGGTCAGGTATGGAAATTTATACTCCCCCCCACCCCAACACACACCCCTGAATAGGATTAGTGTGTATAAGAAGAACAAAAAGATGTACAAACAAAATGTCTGGAACAGTTCAAAGAAGGAAAAGATTATTTCTAACAGTGGGACCAGAAAAATTTTTATGGAGAAAGTGACATTTGATTTGGATTTTCTTGAAGGATAAGCAAGACTCAGACAGATAGATTCGGGTGGTTTAAGGCTTCTGGGAATAGGTAGTTGTGTGACTAAATAGGAAATAATGAAATGTGTTTCTAGAGAATAGTGAGTAAGTAATCCAGTTTGGCTGGAAAGCAACATGTAGATGAAAGGGAGTAGTGGGATGTAAGCCTGGAAAGGAAGGATGAGGTCAGACTATAGAGAACCAGGGAAACCACGAACTGACAAAATTATGTCCTGGTTTCTATTAAGTTCCATTGAAATTTTTATGATAGCTGTAATTTATATAGCACATTAAGATTCATCAGATTTATGTTTTATGAAATTTATGTATTTGTAAGTTTTATAAGCTTTATAAAATTATGTTTTGCATCCATCATCTCATTTGATTCGCCATGACATCTTGTGATATAGGTATCATTGCACCTGTTTTTATGAATTGAAAGTCAGAGAAGTAAAATGATTTGCCCATGGTTACCGAACTAGTCAATTTTGGAGATAGGATTCAAAACCAGCTCTCTCCTAACCCCAAGTCCAGAGCTCTTTCCACTAAACCATTGAGGTTGGTCTCTCTTTAGTTTCAGCAGAATGTTAGCTCCTAGAAGGCAGTGACCATTTTATTTTTTATCTTTGTTTTCTCAGTATCAACCATAGTGCCTTGCACACTTTATATGCTTAATAAACATTTGTTGAGTTGCAATGGCTGACTACTGAACTTAGATATTTGAAAGAATATGGTGAATTATCCTGCCTCTTGTCTTCTAATTTGGCTTCCTCAATCCCAACGTAGTAGTCTGGTGCTTGAAATTTTCCTTGGTTTGGTATTTTTACCCTGACCTCTGTTTTGAATCAGTTCAGATAAAAGTTATCTATAATGGAATTTGAAAACCTTATATTTTGATCTGTCAAGGGCAGGTAGAACTCACCTTCTACTTCCAGCATGACTAGCTTGGAATATGCTGTCCCGAGGCTATTTTTGGCCACACATCTGTAATGCCCTGCATCTTCTCTTTGAACATTGTGAATCCTTAAACTCCCAGATTCAAGAATCGCAATTCGGGCATTTTCCTGTGAGAAACAGAAAAGAATTCTTGTCATTTAATTAAAAGTCAGCTATTACTGGTTTATGAGAACAGACTGTTAAATTTTCTGTTTGATCATTTATATCTCAGAAATCTACAAATGTTACAAAGTAGGGCTTGATTTAATGTTTTGTTTATTGTCTAGACTTTAAAAAAAGTGATGAAAAATGTTAGTAATGCAGATTAAACTTAAAAGTATGTATTTTTTTTCCCGGAGAGTTGGTTGTACTCAATAACATTATGAGAAGTAACACAGAGAGCCATACTTTTTTGGAGGGTAGGCAAGGCCAAAAAGATGCTTGAACATTTGCTCTGGAACTAACTTTATTTGTGTGATAATCAAAGAGGAACTTGTAAATGAAGTGCCTTTTATTTCCCAGCTACTTAGAAGTTCCTGAGATAAGCTTTGAAGAAATAGTCTCACAACCAGAGAAATAACAATATTTACAAGAAATATCCTAAACCTAAGTCAGATGATTGTCCAGGACAATGCACTTTAATCATTACCAGATACAGGAAATAAAGAATAAACTTAATCATAGCCTAGAATGTCGTGCCCACTTTTGCTAGATGTCTGACTGGGTATGATTGCACTTTGCCATTGACTGTTGATTTAATAAACCACATTGACTGTGGTTTTCCCTATCAAAAACTCTCTAGCTATTGCCCCCTAGCAGATAATAATAGAGAGAAGCAGATGGCCCTGAAGATGACAGATAGCTGATGGCAAGCAGATGGTAGCAGAGAGCAATTCAGTGACCACAAAACCAGTGAAGACATCAAGAGGAGATAATGCGTTGAAGAGCAGAGAGGCAGTGCTCGACAGAGATGACACAACCAGCAAAGAAAGGCAAAGAGCCGTACAAGGTCAACATCAGAGAAAAATGATAGCTTTGCAGTATTAAAGATGGGAGTTGCCTCAGACACGGTTGTATGTACCACAAGCCTGTGCTCTGAGGGAGAGTAGACAGCTCCCCTGTCAATGGGTGAGCTAATTATTTTATTTGCTATGCTGTCTGATCAAATATGTTTTACTTTGAACTAATGTGTCTTCTGGCTGGTAAAAGTAAACATCCTTGGAGACTCATATATTATGGTTTTGAATGATTGCTAAGTCACAATTAAAGCTGAGATAGCTTTTCAAGGGGCTTATCAGGTAGGTCTACAATAACAAGAATGACAAAGCAATATTGTTAAAACAAAGGATCATTACACTAAATTTCAATTAAAATAGTATTAAAAGTTAAGTCCTCATCATTTTAAAAAAACACCCATTCTGGTGTAAATCATCGACTGTGAGACAGATCCACAATAATATTAGCTAGTTGTACATTACATTTCCAAAGTGTTTTATAAATATTTTCTCATTTTATCCTCATAACTCTAGGAGGCAGGTGCTATGGTTATTTCCATTTTATAGACGAGAAGACCGAGGCAGATAGAGGTTAAGGGACTTTCCCAGTTTCACACAGCTAGTAAGAGTCTGAACATGAATTCAGAAGACTATATAATTTTAAATGATCTTATTGTAGTTGAAATATGGATGAAATTGACTGCTTGTACCAAATGCATGATTTAGCACAATTGCTATGGTATTACATTCCAAAGGTATGATAAAGCCTGGAGAAATGAAAGATCTTATGAAATGCGTATTTTTCTTCTAATTATTCTTATAAGCTGGTAAATTTTTTTAAAAAAACAGATTAAAATCATTCATTTTCTACCCCAAATTTTTTTTTATTAAAAACTACATGGAAATAAATAATTTAATTCAACTCTTTCATTTTTCCATTCATATCATTCAGTCCTCTCCAACCAAATTCTACACTGATGCCACATTATGGCATGGGAATGAACATGGGTTCTCAAATACTCTACCAAGGGGTACAGTACGACATCCCTCTGAAGAAGAAAGGCTTTGAGTATGGGCTCAGAAGCAGGCTGTGTCTAGTCTAACTAATTACAGAGAGAATCAGCAGCAGCAGGCTGGCCTATGGGAAATGGTTATGCTACAGTGGAAAGAACATTAGTGCCAGAGTCCAAGGATCTTAGTTTAAATCCCACCCCCTGACACTTAGTACTTGGGTGACCTTGAACAAACTACTTCACTACTTTCCATACAACCAGTTTGGGATATGCTGTTCCAAGGCTATTTTTGGCCTCACATTGATAATATCCCATAAATAATGGGACTTTGGACAAGCTAGGCTTAACCTTCCCAGATTTCAGTTGTTTATCTGTAAAATGAGGGGTCATTACAGATTGCCTTGGGGGTCTCTTTCAATTCTGGATCAAAGATCCTCTACTTCTTTACTTTTTGAGGGGAGGGGGGCACAATGCAGGCCATGAAGTGAAGAAAATACAAAATGGCCTATTCTTCTCTATCCAGATTGACAGTGAGTAATGGAAAAGGGTGCTAAGAATCACAGAGTTTTTTGATGACATTAATTTTGCTGTTCTCTAAATGACAATCACCAATGGTCTAGTTTTGTTGTGGTTGGAGCTGTCCTACATTTATAATGGCACCTTCTCTACAAGTTAAGTTAAAAAATATAAAGAAATTACAGCTAAATTAAAACATAGCTTGTAGGTTCTCCTCAGACAGGCAAATAAAGGAGTTGGCAGAATTGGTTTCATCATGTACCCAAAGTCGATAAGAAATCCCACTTCATGAACCACGGCAAGTCATCTTGCCTTTCAATACTCATGATGAACATAAACAGGTCCCAATGAAGATAATTGCTATTTATGCCCCAACAGCTGTTGCTGAGGATGAAGCAAAGACATTCTATGAGGAATTTGACAAGCTCTTCCAAACAAAGTAAACACATATCTTGAGTTTTTGTGACTTCAGTTTAACATTGGCCACAAGGAAGGGTGATGAAAAATAAGTTTAAAATGTTTTGAGGTTGAGAAGCAAAAGATGCCTAAGGCTTGCTGGTTCTGCAGAACCTTCATGACAATACAACATAAATACTTTCTTCAAGAAGAGTCAGAAGACACGGAGTATGTCAACACTACAAACAACATCACAAATGTCAAAATTGATTCTCTCAAATGGAAAACTCTTTACTGATGGGGAGTCATTTCTGAATCCTGTTCTGTTAGAATAGGCTCAGGGACAGACCCAGCTCCCACAGATCACTGCACAGGGAGTGAGAACCCTAGCATGTACTACTTAGAGCACTGAGTCCAAGCTTAGGGTCTATGGGACATGGAGTCTGCTTCTGCATTGCTTATCCCTGAACTATATTATCCACTGAACCCATAACTTGCCAGGGCATCTGACTGACTCTGGTTGATATCATGCAATTTGACACTATAGGTTTCTATACCTAGATAGAGGGACAGTTAGGTGGCACAATGAGTAGAGTGCCAGGCCTGGAGTCAGAATGAACTGACCCTTATTGTGTGATCCTGTGCAAGTCACTTAACCCCATTTGCCTCAGTTTCCTCATCTATAAAATGAGCTGGAGAAGGAAATAGCAAACCATGTTAGTATCTTTGACAAGAAAACCCCAAATGGAGTCATGAAGAATCAGACTGAAACTACTGAACAACACCACCACCTAAACAGAACCATTCCACATGCCCATATATATGGAATCACAACATCTCAGAGGTGGAAGGGATCTCCAAGGTCACTTAGTTCAATGTCTACATAGCCAACAGCTTCCACTACCGTGGCTCAAGTGGTCATTCAGTCTTCACTTGAAAACACTAGTGAAAGGGAATGCTAGTGAGCATCTCACTGCAAAACCTGAGTCATTTTGCGAGTTTTTCATTACGTTGAACTAATGCAAAAATTATCCCCTTGCACCTTTGTTCTATTGTGTTCTTGGGGTCAAGCAGAACAAATCTTATCTTCTTTCTAATGACAGTCCTGCCATTCATTAAAGATAGTTATCCATTCTGCAGGCTTTCATGAATTATATCTTGAAACTCTTTGATGATTTTGGATATTAGGGGTCCAAACTACAATTTAATAGGAAAATGGGTCTAACTGCTAAGTTCCAAGTTGGCAAATGCAACAGGCTTCTGCAAGCTTTTGTTTTCCTGGTACAAAACACCTTTCAGGCTGTCTAGGCTGGCATTTGTATGTAATATAAATCACTTACCTTCATTGGCAAAAGTCAACAAAGATGCATATGTGAGAAATCTAATTAAGGCTCTTAAAGGCTCAGTCATATTTTTCATTCCAATGATTTCTCAAGGGTAATCAGGGATCAAGGCCATATTTTTCCTTTCCTCTAGAGCAGAAGTGTCAAACATGCTGCCTGCTGCTGGGCTGGCCACATCGCACCTCCCCACTCCCCATTCCCAATGTAGCCAGAACCAGATTAAAATGTAATTGGATAATATTTAACAAAATAAATAAAAACACAATGGAACATAGATAATTCTTAATACATGGGTTTCTTAGTAGTCAATATGAGGCTAGCAGGGATCCTTATGTATAGTTTGTATGTTGTTTAGTAATTTTTCAGTTGTATTAAACTCTTTGTGACACCTTTTTTTGGGGGAGGGGGGCTGGCAAAGATACTGCTGTAGTTTGCCATTTTCTTCTCCAGTTCATTTTACAGATGAAGAAACTGAAGTAAACAGGGTTAAGTGACTTGCCCAGAGTCACACAGCTAGTAAGTGTCTGAGGCCACATTTGACTCAGAGAGATGAGTCTTCCTGACTTCAGGCTTGGCACTCTATCTACTGTGCCATCTAGTTGCCCAAATCTGTGATCTATGTTTGGTCAAATCTTCCCTTGGGATGGTTGCATAGGAGCCTTCTTAGTCAACTCTCACCAATTTTATCAGATGGAACTGGGAAACTGGTCCTGCTTCTAAGGTAACCAACGGTATCACAATAACAGTCCATCTCAGGACTCCCTGGCTCATGGTTGCATGGTTCATGTACTACAAAGTCACTCCCTTTAGTTACCACTTACTACTGTGTCATTTGTAACGTATGTTGGAAATCGTTTCAGCCTTCCTCCCCCCTTACACTGCAGTTAGTAAAGTGTGAAGATCCTTGGCATACCCAAATTTGATGATCCCATGTCCTCAAGCATTAATATACTTTAATAGGCAGGTTTTCCTATTTTTAACTCATAGAACATGTCAAATGTAAGTACTCTACACTCTAGCAGTTGTCTAGGAAGTGTGTCCGGTGCCTGCCACTTCTGTAGAACCCAGTAACATTTTTACCATCAAGGGCTCAAATTTCTCCTTTCCTTTTAGGGGAGGAGTATGTCCAGGTACTAAGGGCCTCTTCCTAAAGAGAATCCATTAAGGATACAGTTGTTTCTGTCTTAGAACTTGTTCAAAGACCGGGGCCTATACTTTTGATGAAACAGGATGTTTGGACTAGAGGAACCTTACTCTAAGAGTTTCACCATTTTTGGTAGCTATGTTCTTCTAGGTAGTTCAATTTTTTCTCATGAACTCATGATCAAAGGTAGGTGATTTTTGTCATTATTTTCTAGGCAACTTCCTCTCCAAATATCTAAGGAATTTGGGAAGTTCTGCTGCCTTAGGAAACTCACATAGAGCAGAATTTATGTTGTCCTCCCCCCATAAGTGCTTTTACCAAGCATTTTATACAGGCCCAGAAATGTCAAAGTACTATATAAGACCTCTTTAGGGGTGTTTTCGTAACAATTCGTGGGTATTCCCCAAATCAATAGTACTTTGTGTAGTTCTGCAACCTCTTAAGCCCACTATTTCTCAAACAATGGAGAAGCTATTCCATAGTTCACCCTCAAACTAGAGTGAATTATACTTTAAGCTCTGAAGCCTAAAGAATTCTTTAATACTTGCAAGGGGTGTGATGAAGAGTCAGCTAAATGCAGAGGATATATATATGTAATACCTGGGGATATCCTCCAACTTCCAGGCTGGGTTCCCCTGAAGATGACTACTCCAGGTTCAAAGTATTCTATGGGATCACATTCCTGAGTCCGTATTGATGAGTTTCATTCAATAATCAACCAGAGAATACAATTAGTTCAAAGCAAAGGCACTTACTAATAACAGTGGCAGCAAAGCATCTCCTCCATAAACATGGAATATACTCTACATCATCAGAAAATATGTGTGGCCAGGACTTTTTTGCAAGGATCAGCAAATCATGTCTCTGATGAAGTAGGGCTGCCAATGTCTTCATATTGCTCTCAATGACCTTGGCCTTTGGGCACTGCCAGATATTGTTCCACTGAATGTTACTGGACACCTCATATATGTAACCTTCACAGCCTCAGGTGACTGTTCTGCTGGAATCTTTACCCTAGGACCAGCAGGAAGCTTTCCCAATTCTGCTCTCTCAGAGTCTTGGCTCTAGACTTTGCTATCTCCCAAGCAGCAGGATTCTAGTTCCAGGCACCAATCCCTCCCTCTTCTTGCCTCTCTTGTCACAAAGGGCTAGGGTTCAAGAAGCAATGTCCTTGATTTCTCATCTTAGAGTTTGTGAAAGCATGAGCCTCTTACGGTCTTGTGATTCTAACATAAGATGTTATTGCTGGTTGGGAAGGGAGGGAGAAGGAAAAATACTTTCCTTCTTTGTTCCACACTGCTACAGATACAAATGTAGAGGTAAAGAGGGAGTCCTCCAGGGTTCAGTCTTTCCTCTAAATTGGGCTCTCCAGGTCACTTTCCAAAGTCAGATTGTCTTGCTTTTTATAGGGCCAAAAGGTGTGACTGATTCTCAAACACATCATACGAGTTCACTGCATACCATCAACTGACTTCATTCGATGCCTGATATTTACTGTATTATATTATCAGGTTGTTTAGGAAATTCTTTTACACTTCTTTATTTGGACCAAGAAAACTCTCCAGTTTCATTACAGAGTACCTGGTATTAATCAATAAACATTTATTAAGTGACTACTGTGTGCCAGGTACTGTGCTAAGTACTGGGGATATAAAAAGAAGGCTAAGACCCTACCAAGAAGAGGCTCATAATTGAATGGAGGAAATAAAATGTAAACAAATACATACAAAGCAAGCTATATAGAGAATAAATAGGTGGTAAAAAAAAAAAAAAACCAGAGGAGTTGATGAAATCTGTCGGTTAAAGAAGGGATTTTATCTGGGACTTGAAGGAAACCAGAGAGGTTAGTAGGCAGAGAGAAAGGAGAGTGTACCTTCCAACATGTGCTTACATGCAGTCTTAGATGAGCCCTCTTTCTCGCGAATGGAATCATTTTGACAGAGCTTCTTATGCCATGAAGAACACCAAATTCACCTTGGAAGGATTTCCTTATTTATCTTGGCTTATAGCTAAACAAATACATGCATGGTATTGTCCATTAAGAGGCATCTACCTCCCTATGTGCAAGTATATGATTCAGTACAATGCAGGAGAATGTTTTGTTGAAAGGAAGAGAAAACAAAACAGAAGCCCTTGATGAGCAATGAGTCAAAACGTCACTAATTTAAGGACTATAGCCCCAAATTAAAGAGATCTGCTGGACCTGAACACTGTCTGTCTCCTTCTCTCTCTCTATCTCTTACACACACACACACACACACACACACACACACACACACACACACACACTTTTCCATCCTCTGATCTCTAACAATAGAAAGGGAGGTGGCATTATTTTTCTCTCTCCCTATGCAACTTTGTGCTCTTCCTTGCAGCTATCTCAGGCTCAGTAATTCACAAGACTTCTCATTGACTTATAAGATTTAATCCTGGAAGAGATCTGAAACCTCACCTAGTCCAATATCCTTATTTTACAAATTAATAGTCTAAAACACAAACTGGATAAATAATTTATCCAAGAACACAAAGTAAATAACAAAGCAAAAATTTGGGCCCAGTTGCAGTGTTTTTCCTACTATACTTCACTTCCTCTTGAGCAAAGAAATTCTTTAAGATTTTCCTGTCTTTCCATATGAGTTTCTCCATGCAAGATGAGGACAAGATCTCAATAGTTTTCTTCTTCTTTCTAGGTACCACTGCTCTGCTTATTCTCCTTTTCCTCTTAATAGTAGAAGAGGAAACATGGGTTTGGAGTTAAGGGACCTAAGTTTGAGTACAGACTCTGCTATTTGCTATCTATGCAACCACAGACAAGTCACTTCCTCTCCTTAGCCTCAGTTTCCTCATTCGAGACATAAGAGGGTTGGATGAGATAACCCTGAAGGTCTTTTTCTAGTTCTCAAACTATAATGATCCCAAAACACTTTGAACAATCTAATACATACCATGGATAACTTCATGTGAATATTAATTTTTTGCTAGGTACACTAATGAATGGCAGTGGAGTAGTGAACTCAACAATTCTGGAGAACAACTTGGAACTATGTCCAAAGAGTTATAAAACAGTGCAAACCCTTTGACCTAGTAATAACACTAAAGGTGTATATCTGAAAGAGATCAAAGGAAAAGGAAAAGGACCTATGTGTACAAAAATATTTATATCAGCTCTTTTTGTGGTGGCAAAGAATTGGGAATTGAGGGGATGCTCATCAATTGAGGAATGGCTGAACAAGCTGTAGCATTTAAGTGTGATTGAGTACTATTGTACTATAAGAAATGATGAGGCATGGGTGGTTTCAGAAAAATATGTCAAGAACCATATGAACTGATGCAAAGTAAAGTGAGAACAACCAGGAGATCATTGTGCACACTAACAGCAATGTTGGAATGATGATCAGCTGTGAAAGATTTGACTACTCTGATCAAGACAATGATCCAAGACAATTCTGAAGATAAGAAAAAAAAATATATTGATGAGAAAAATATATGATGAGACAAAAATATATTATCTACCTCTAGAGAAAGAATTGATGAACTCAGACTGGAAAATGAAGTACAATTTTCTTACTTTTCTATTTTTCTTCCTTTTTAAAAAAAGGGCTAATGTGGAAATGTTTTGCAGGATTTCACATGTATAATTGATATTGTATTGCTTGACTTCTCAGTGGATAGTGAAGGAAATGAGAGGGAGAAAGAGAATTTAAAAATTAAAATTAAAAAAGAAAGGAATGTTAAAAATAAATAATTTTTAACAGGAAAAAAGACTAATTTTTCTATATCACTCCAACAGGCAGATTGATGAAAGAACTTAACATCAGTACTTGGATGACAAGGAGCGACTAGACACTGAGAGATCAATTAGGAAGCTATGGTGACAGTCCAGAAGATATAAACATGAAATTATATGACTGATATGAATAACTAATAAACTTATCATAAAGTCTTTGAAAATACTTATATTATATGAAATACACTATTTCAGAAACTTACCCTGAGTATGGTGTCTCCTTTGATCCATGATACTGAAGGCTTGGGATTGCCCATTGTAGTACATGGCAAGACTGCCTTTAATCCCTCTATTATTTTTACATTGATAGGAGGACGTGTTATTTTAGGCTCTAAAAGGAAAAAGGCCCAAAACAAGAGTTGAATATTTTATAGACATTAAAACAGGATAAATGTTTACAATACAGTAAATTTAGTGTTCATTCACATTTATAGTCCAGGTGGAATAATTTAAAAGATCTAAATGTTTTTTTATCAGGGGTCGTGTAATCGCAAACACTTTTACAAGTATTTATGAGATATTCTTGAGGTAGTAAAATTCCAAAAGTTAAATGTTAATTTAACCCATAGAAATTAGTGTTATTAGAGAAGTAAATTATTTTAAAAATGTTATTAAATGGTTGTTGGGCTAAGCAAAACTGAGGAAAAAATTTAATTATAAATTAGTGACTAGACGCTTAGCAATTTTTTTTTACTTTGTCGCAGGACTCACTGAAGAAAGCAGCTTCCTTTTGTATTTTATTTTTAACTAAATTATTGATTAAAAATTAATACTGAACATAAATCCAATTAAAATTGCTTTAGCAAGTATATATTTCCCAGTTGTTGGGTATTTAGATTACTTCTGGGTTTCTAAAATTCTGTTTTATACTGTTGTAAAATCTGAAAATAGCTGTCTCTCTCCCTCCCTCTCTCCTCCCATCTCTCTTTTACATTCTATGACACTTTTCACTATACATTTCAAACAAAGGAATTACTATATCAAAGATTATTTTTGAAACCTTTACTCTATACTACCAGCTTGTCCTCCAGCAAAATCCTCAGAGTTTTCAATCTCATCAGCAACAAAAGAGCATTTTCCCACAACCATGCAAGCTCTGAATTTCATGGCTTTTCAATATCTTTGTCCTGATGTATGCTAAATTATCAATTTTGAAACACACAATCTACATACTACTTGTCCCAGAATACACTTACAGTGTAAAGCATCATACACTCACAATGAGCCAAATAATATTAGGTATATAATGGAATTTTGCCTTTGATTTTTTTAAATCTCTATAAAACTCATTTGCTGAAAAAAACTGAAATGATTTTATGCTGGACGATAAACTAGACTGTGAGCTCCTTCAGAGTAAGGATTTTTTCTCTTCTTTATCTTTAGTGCTTCCCACAGTTCTCGGCACTAGTAGACACTTGATAAACGCTAGCTGACTAGCTAATAATACTTTTTTTTTTGGTGAGGCAATTGGGGTTAAGTGACTTGCCCAGGGTCACACAGCTAGTGAGTATCATGTGTCTGAGGCCTAATTTGAACTCAGGTCCTCCTGACTCCAGGGCCAGTGCTCTATCCACTATGCCACCTAGCTGCCCCGCTAATAACACTTCTTGACAGCATTTTGTACTTTTCATTTTCACAATTGTTGTCACAGATTTTTAGAAGTGTATGGCACCTGTGTTATATACACATAGAATCATAAACTTGGAGCTAGAACCTTAGAGGCAGCATGGTCTAGTGTAATGAATATTGGACTTGAAGTTAGGTGACAAGTTCAAATTACATTGCATAGTTATTAGTGGGGCAACAAGGTAGAAGAGTGGATAGAGTACTGGGTCTGGAATCAGAAGGACCGGAGTTCAAATCTGATCTCAGACACTTACTAATTTTGTGACCCTGGGTAAATCACTTAACCCTGTTTGCCTCAGTTTCCTCATATGTAAAATGAGCTGCAGAAGGAAATGGAAAACCACTCCAGTATCTTTGCCAAGAAAACCCCAACGGGGTCATGAAGAGTCAAACACAACTGAAATAACTGACCACCACCAACAAAAAGTTATTAACCGTGTGGCTGTAGGTAAGTAAATTAACCTTAATCTGTCAAGTATGGCTAATATTTAAAGTTATCCCTTCCACATTGTGACTTTCACATCACATTTCTGATATATTGGATAATGGGTCAGCATAAGAAGTTAAATGGAAATTATTTTTGGGGGGTTTTTTGGAAGCCACAGACAACAAAGCAAAGGCCAGCAAATGACACAGAAAAAGTTTAGAAACTTAGAACATATTTTGTCTTTTAATACTATAATATCTTAATTAATACTGTAATATTAATTGTTAATTAATTAAGATTAATTAATACTATAATAATTCAGACTTCTCTAGTATGAAGGGAGGGCTAAAATTTTTATGTAGATTTTCCAGATTGGTGGTGGGGGTGGGGGGTGCACCATGCCCCTAACCCATGAGATGTGGAAGGAATAACTGTATATGAATTATATCACAAGACTGACATCAAGAAAGCACTTCAAAAACCTTAGCATGTTATGTAAATATGCTTTTGATACAGGGAATTTCTTTACATGGAAGTGTCCTATAAAAGTTTCCACACGGAAATCATAGATCAAATCCCTATTACTATGCCTATTATTATTAGAGGTTATGCAGTCCAATCCCTTCCTTTTAAAATAACTTTAATGATGAACAATCTGAAGTTTAGGAAAATGAAGCAACTTGTTCAAACCACAACTAAACAACTAATGAGACGCAGAACTGGACCCTTTGACCCCAGCTTTATCACTGTCAATCACATCATAGTGCTGTACCATTCTATTTTATAGAGATAAGCAACCTGAGGCCCAGAGAGAAGTGATTTACCTTAAGTCACACAGTTATTAGTAGGTAGAACGAGCATGAGAAGCTGGGTCTCCTGACACCTAGCCCAGAGCACTCTCTAGGATGTCATAGGAGCTCATTTGATTCTTTAAAATAATTTTGTGGGGCAGCTAGGTGGCACAGTGGATACAGCTCCATCCTTAAAGCCAGGGAGGACCCAAGTTCAAATATGGCCTCAGACACTTGACACTTACTACTTACTAGCTGTGTGACCTTGGGCAAGTCACTCAACCCTGATTGCCTCACCAAAAAAGAAAAAAAAAAGTAAATAAAATAATTTTGTGAGGTTGGGCAGGCAGTATATCCAGATTTATAGCTGCTGAAGCCGAAACTCAGTGAAGTTAAAGAATTTGTCCAACATTAGCTATTGATAGCATCTCCACTCCAACCCAGTTCTTCTGATATCTTATCCAGAGTCTTTTCAAGTATAATATAATTAGAATAAAATTTAATATAGGGAGGGGAAAGTTTTGCAAAATGATTCTTAGCTCTGCAGATTTGATTCATGTTTTTCTTTGAATGGGGGAGGGTGGGAGAAGGAAAAAGCAGTTCTTAAGCACCTACTTATTAGGGCCGCTACATGGTACAGTGGATAGAGCACTGGACTTGGATACAGGAAGACCTATGTTCAAATCTGGCCTCTGATATTTATTGGATGTATGATCCTGGACAAGTAACTTAACCTTGTTTGCCTCAGTTTCTTCATCTGTAAAATGATCTGGAGAAGGAAATGGCAAACCATTGCAGTATCTTTGCCAACACAACCCCAAATGTGATGATGACGAGTAGGACATGCCTGAAAAACAACTTAACAAGTTACCTACTATGTACCAGGCACTGTGCTATGCACTTTACAAATTATTATATCATCTGATTCTCACAATAACCCTAGCAGGCAAGTACCATCATTGTCTCTATTTTATAGTCAAGGAAACTTGGAAACAAGCAGATGGAGCTTAAGTGACTTGCCCAGGGTCACACAGATAAGAAGATTTGCAGCTGAATTTAAACCCAGGTCTTCCTGACTCCAGGAAGGGGCAGCTAGGTGGTACATTTGGTAGAGTGGTAGGCCTGGAGTCAAGAAGACTATCTTCTGGAGTTCAAATCCAGCCTCATACACTAACTGTGTGACCCTGGGCTAGTCACTTAACCCTGTTTGACTCAGTTTTCTTATCTATAAAATAAAAAAAGAGTTGGACATGACTGAAAAAGACTGAAAAACAGCTTCCTGACTCCAAGCCCAGCACTCTATCCATTGTGCCACAATGAAACTATTTTAATACATTTGGAGAAATTGACTAGTTAATTAATTAGTGAAATTACTATGTGACAGTCACTGTATTGAGAGATGGCTCCAAAACATACTGGCTGTCAACCTCCCAAAGGCAATTTTCTAGCAATGATCACGTAACATGAGCTGCAGCATGGTAAAGAAATTACCTAGTTAAAAATGCCCATTACAATAACATTGAGGGGCAGCTAGGTGGTGCAGTGAATAGAGCTCTGGCTTTGGAATCAGGAGGACCTGAGTTCAAATCCAGCCTCAGACACTTAACACTTACTGGCTGTGTGACCCTGGGCAAGTCACTTAACCCCAATCGCCTCACCAAAAAGCAAAAACAAAAAACAAAAACAAAAAAAAAACAAAAAACCAATAACATTGACAAGAGAATCTTTGTGGGAACTACATTGTGTTTCTTTTATTTCACTCTAGACTGTCTTACGTTACTAAAACACAATGAAAGACTGTCTTCGAAGAATGAGCTATTGTGAGGGGGGAAGCATGTCACTTCTTTCATGAGCTTCTCCCTTATCTACTTGCCATTATCATAGAAGTAGGATAAAACTAAGGACTTTTTTCTTTCACTCAAACACGATTGAACGAGGTGCTTTTATGTTTGAATATGGAGCACAGCCTAGTGGATTTTCACCAGTGCATGTATCCATTATAACTAAATTCTATTTACAAGGACAATTTTTTTCACTTCCATTCAACTTAGACTGTTCCTCCAATTATTTTCCCTTCACCCAAGTCCCATGATTCCTAGTACAGTGCTGTTTACAGTACAACATCCAGTGTTGTGTAATGGAAAAGGAACCAATTGTCATTGAGTCATGTTTGTCGTGTCTGACTCTCTGTGACCCCATTTGGGGTTATCTCGGCAAAGATGCTACAGTGGTTTTCCATTTCCTTCTCCAGTTCATTTTACAGATGAGGAAATTGAGGCCAGATTTGGACTCATGAAGATAAGTCTTTCTGACACCAGACTGGGCACTTTATCCGCTGTGCCACCTAGCTGCCCTAAAGGAACTAGACTTGGTATCAAAAGCTTCAAGAGTCCTACAAAGTCATTTTTTTTACCTACCTCTACCTCAGCTTGATCAGCTATAAAATGAAGACAGTATCTGCCAGTATAGACTCCTCAGAGCTACTACAGTGATAAAATCAGATACACTATGTGTATATATATATGTATATATATATATATATATTTAGGGAAGGAACTATGCAAATATATAGTTCCATTAACTTGTTTAATGAAACAAAAGAACTCCAAAGCAGCAACTTTGAATGGAAATGAATATCATTTGTCACAAGTGGGTCAAATTATATTTTAGTTTTTGTATGGCGAATGAAACCCAAAATAACTTGGAAACTTCCTGGATTCCAGAAGTTGTGATTTTATGTATCATAAAATCCTAGACTCTTTGGGCTGAAAGGGAGCTTAGAGATCACCTAGTAAAAACCCTGCTTTAAAGCATGAACCACACTTACTTTGTCTACTTCTAGTTGTCTCTGCAAGATACCTTTATGAGAATGTTTTACAATGGGTCAATTTTCTATTAAAAGTACTATGGAGACTAATTTATTGGGTTACAAAGGTTAACAGTGTTTTTAAAATTGAATAGTTCACAATATAGTAGACCTTTTTTTAAAAAATCAAGGAAAGTTATGACTTTTGGTCTAAAGGTCTTCCTATCACTTTTAATTAATTAACTTATTTATTAATTAATATTTTAATTAGTGGTACTTACTCATTTTCACTTGCAAGGCTCCACAACTCTCAGCAGCGACTCCTACACCATTGTTGGCAGTACAGCAGTATACACCATCATCACTGTCTTCCACACTCAGAATGGTTAGAAGCTGTCCATTCTCTCGAATACTATAGCGAGTATCAAAGAGTCTGAAAAACAGTCAGAGTGGATTAAGAACGCTATATTCTTTTGAATTCAATTAAATTCCACCAAAGTTATTGATTGCCTGCTGTGATAATAAAAACAATAATAACAATAATGATGATGGCTAACATTTAGATAGTGCTTACCATGTGCCAGGTACTGTGCTAAGTGCTTTACAATTACTGTCTTATGTGATCCTCACAACAACCTTCAGATGTAGGTGTTGTTATTATACCCATTTTATAAATAAGGAGACTGAGGCAGAGGTTGTGATGTGTCCAGGATCACGTAGCTAATAAGTGTCTGAGTCCATAGTTGAACTCTGGTCTTCTTGACTCTAGAACTGGAGCTTTATCCACCCTACCAATCTGCTTTCCCTAAGTATTGTGTGCAAGAACACTGTGCTCTGGTGCTTAGAGAAATCCAAAATTAATCTTGCCCTCAGAGCTTATAATCTTATAAAAAGGCTTGGGGCAGCTAGGAGGTACAGTGATAGAGTGCTAGGTATGGAGTCAGGAAGACCTGAGTCCAAATCCAGCCTCAGACACTTACTAGTTGTGTGACCCTGGGCAAATCATTTAACCTTGTTTGCCTCAGTTTCCTCATCCATAAAATGAACTGTAGAAGGAAATGGCAAACCACTGCAATATCTTTGCCAAGAAAACCACAAATGGGAGAGTTGGACATGACTGAAACAACTGAATGACAACAGAAAGGCTATAACATATGCATAAATAATACATAGTAGATAACTTATATTTAAGAGAAGATTTGGGGCATTTTTTTTTAACCTTCAGAGTGTTCGAAGGGATGTTGGGTATAGGAAAGATCAGATTTATTTCAATTGGTTCTAAAGGGCAGAGCTGGGAATAATAGGTAGAAATTCCAGGAAGTAAAATTTAAATATAAAAAAATATAAATTCCTAATAGTGAGAACTGCTTAAAAATGGAATAAGCTGCCTTACTAGGTAGCCATTTTTATCATCACTGGAGAGCAAAGAAGCTTGATGACTATTTTCTGCGACGATGTTATATGGGATTGATGCTATAGGAAGAGGTTGGACTCAATGACTTCTAAGGTTCCCTTCAAATTCTGAAATTCTAAAACAGAACCTAGTAAGTTTACTGCAGGACTGGAAGAAGTCCAAAAGACTTATGATAAATGTTCCCTAAAACCTTAAAGAAGAGAATTCTTCCTTTGCCTATTTTTAAAGAAAACTCACTGAGAAAAGTGTCATCTAGAAAACCACTTTCCAATTGCCAATGTGGTCTCTGGCAAATTTTTAGTAGTCCATGGACTTTTACTTCCAAAAGGTCTTTATTTCTTACAACCAATAAAAATAAAAGCAAAGCAAAACAAAACAAACAAACAAAAAAAACCCCTTGCTTTTTTCAGATAGTCTGAACTACACCCTCAATCACTGAGGTCAATATGAACATACTCTAGCTTTCAATTAATTGGTGGGTTGAGAGGTCATGTTGACCACATACCAGTAAGGGAGAGATGACTCACCATGACTAATCATGTTCTATGACCCTGATGTAAGAGTGAAAATTATAGGAGTGACCACAGGAAATAAAGCAAACAGTCACTTCTTTATTTGCCAGGAGCCCAGAGCAGCAAAAAAAAATTGTCTCTGGGCTTAAATGAAGTTCGCATATGATCAGCATTAGTTAAAAAATGTTTTAGTAATAATAGATTGAACCCAGAAATATTTGCAATTCTGTGTGAAGAGACATCATCAGATGGAATGATTTAGAATAATAGACCTAGAGATGAAAGGAATCTTCAAGGTCATATAGTCCAACCTCCTCATTTTATAGTCACCTGAGGAAACTTAAATAGAGGAAATAGTCCCCCCACAGGCACACTTGAACCCAGACCCTCTAATTCCAAATCCCAGACTTTCCCCTGCACCGTCCTCCTCCCCTACATTTCCTTCTTTATTGATTAAGGGGAAGAGTTTAAAAAATTAGTTAGTAACATAAACCTGAAATATTTTAAAGTTAAAAACATTGAATTTGACAATTTTAAAGATCAAGATTTATAGCAAAGTTCATTAATTTTTTGATACATTTTTACCTACACACAAATTGTATTTGAGTCTCCAAAATCGCTGTCTCCAATTCGTCTAATAAACTCAAACCCATTTAGAGAAAAGTTTAACAATTTGGTTGAGATTTTTATAAGAAAATCAAAAAATGTTCCCTCAGTTCCCTAAATTCTCCAGATCATCAGAGTTAAATATGAAAAACTGTGCATGAATTACTTACTGCAAATCCTTGAAAGCACTTTATTGAATCCATATTAGCAATCCACATTTGTGGATTATTAATCTATTTATAAATCCCCAAATCATGGATATTGAAGAAGAAGTTATAGAGTTATATTCAGATTCTAGGTTATAAGAAATATTTAATTCAATGAATATAACTGGATACAGTAAATGTTTGACAATTGTATTTCCAGGGGGGAAAAAAGTATGCAAGGCACACTTTTAAATTTAATCTGCATTATTAACATTGTCTCCATTATTTTCTTGTTTAGACAATCAATGAAACTATAAAGCAAAATCTGATCTGTAGCACTATTTCCGAGGTATATATGCACATTCTGAAAACTTAGCAACTGGCTTTTGGAATCCTTGTCAAGCTTACTCTAGTATACCCCTGAATATTACCCAGCTTGAGACAAAAAGTAAAGACAGACTACCTAGATCCCTACAAAAAAGTAAAAATGAAGCATTTTTAAACATTTTCAAACTTTATCTGAAACAATATTTTCAGTATTGACAATAATAAAATGGAAAAAAAAAGTATCATTTAGTACCTGGCCCTGCCATAATCACATTTCTAGCTCTGTTCCTCCTTCTCTTCTCACTTTGAGGAAGAAACGAAACTAATAACACTAACTACCCTCAATTTATATGACATTTTAAAAAATTAGAGGTAGCATGTCTTAGTAAACAGAGTTTGTCTTTGAGTCAGGAAGAGGGATTCAAGTCCTGCCACTGACACATACTGACTTTGTGACCTTGAACAAGTCATTTAATTACTCTGTGCCCCAGACAACTCTCTAAATCTTAGAAACCTATAAGATTATATTTGCAGACTAGTTGCTGATTTTCGTGGGTAGAAAGAGTTTCCTCACTTGGAGTTTCTTATACCATTGAGGTCATAGATCCAGACACCTTCCTCCCCACAACGTAATATGATTATTTTGCATGACAGTCACATATCTGTCCTTATGCTATTTTTATGTTTGTGTTTATTTCCATGGTAATGGTTTTACATACATACACATACATACACACGTACATATTTATGTCTAATGGTAACCATCTTTAGGGCAAGGGGGGAAGAAAAAAAGGGGAAAAAAAGTTACATGATAACTTTATTATATATTTAAAAGGAATAGCAAGTTATACATACTAGATTTTCAGTTTCATGTGCAATTTTTTTTCCTGTTCTACTATGTTTTGAAAATGCTTGTTTTATTTCTTAAGTTCAGGATAAAATTTAAAAAAATACATTGATTTAAATAATTTTCAAAGTCTGTTTATTCTATAATTTCATAAATAAATATATACATACACATAGTATATATCAGGTATCAACGATTTCACCCATGTTGCTTCTCACACTACTGATGTGGACTGCAACCATTCCACACATTAGTACAGTTTAGTGAATTGCTATCCCTTCTGCCTGGTGTTAACTGCTACTACCTCCATCACCTCCAAGAGGACCCACCTTTTGGTTAGTTTTCCAAACTTAGTAAGGCTGGTCCTTGTACAGAAGATGCACAGTCAATCTAGCAAAGGGTCTGCATTTAGAGTCTATTCAATTGAGTAGGAGAGGTAGCATGATCTGACACTCCTTGAGTGACTCTATAAGAACCCAGGTCATAAGAATCTAGGTCGTGATGAAGCATGGGAGCAAAACTCTAAAGGAAGAGACAGTCAGCTAGCTAGAGATATGTAGCTATAGATATTTATGGTTTAGATCTGTGTCTTCATTGGTACAAAGAGCTTTTACTGAGGAAACTAGCCAGGTAGTACAATATATATATATATGTAATGTACTTATGTATTTTTAAATTTTATTTTTATTCTAAACAACAAAAATTAAATAAAATTGATATTTGCATATAGAATATAAAAAGAAGACTGTACATGAAACTACATACAGATCTATATTATTTTCAGCTTGCTTTTCTTTTTAAGATCTATGAGTTCATCTTATAGCTTTCAAAACTGTCCTAATGGTCTGTACTTGTTTCTTATTTTTTTTCTGGGGTTTTTTGTCTATATTAAAAAAAGATACCTCAATGACCCTCTTTTATTTTTATTTTCTTCACCCTCTTCCTCCTCTTTTTTTTTTTTTGCTATTCTACTCCTATTCTTTCTTGTGCTTCCTCCTTCTCCCTCTCCCCTTCCCAAGGCCTTTTATTAATTCATACTGTTTCTTTCTAACTAATCAAAATCCAATCTCACAAGGTTGTTAAAAGGAAACTACTTTGTAAGCCTTAAGACTTAAAAAATTTTGACAGGTAATGTGAAATAGTAGTGAGCCAGTCTTGCAGTCAAAAAGACTGGATTCAAGTCTGGCCTTTGGGACATACTAGCTGTGTGACCCTGGGCTAATCACCTAACTTCTCAGTGCTTTAGGCTATTCTTTGAAACTATAAGTTCCAGAGAAGGTATAGATTTGAATTGATAGTTTCTCTACCCTATAAAGCAATTAAGTGGTACAGTAAATAGAGCTTTGGACCTGGAGTCAAGAATACCTGAGTTCAAATCCAGTGTGAGATATTTACTAGCTGTGTGACCCTGGGGAAATCACTTAACCTCTTTTTTGCCTCAGCTTCCTCAACTGTAACTTAGAGATAATAATAGCACCTTTCACTCAGGGTTGTTGTGAGAATCAAATGAGATGCTATTTGCAAAGCACTCTTCTATAGCCCCATGTGGTTTACAAAGTGCTTTTCTCATTATAATCCTGT